GCCGCCGGGTAAGGCTGGGGTGCTGGGACCTCGACAACATGTTCCCTGGGCTGCCTGGGGTTCTGATACCGCCTCCCAGGAAGTTTGGCTTGGGAGCACGGTCAGAGAAGCGGATGTTGACTAAATCAGAGACCTGACAGCCACATTGGAGGCTTTTGATATGTTCCTCACTATGCTACGCGTTTTGCTTGCATTATCTCATTTAATCTCTATACGATCCCAATGCGGTGGATACTGTTATTAGGCAGATAAAAAAAAAGACTGGATGGGATCGGTAGGTTCACTTTGCTATTAATAACTACGCTACAGATCTACAGGCATCAGCTGATCGCTTTTACACTAAATGATTACGGTCAAGGAATCTATTGCCATGTCTACCTTCTGTAGTGTCCTGGGTGCACTGGGCCCCTTACCCACTTTTTCATGTTCCTCTCTACCACAGATCACTTTTCAGACTTCACTGCCTTCCTCACCTGAAGCCTCGCCTGGTATTTCTTTTTCTTTCCTCTAAGTAGACATCTGAACCAAAAATAACGCCAAGGGTTGGTGCAACACAGTATAAAGCTTTGTTTTAATTCTTAACTCTGTCCAATCCTGTAACAGAACACAGCAATTCAACACTGTCTAAAAGGTGAAATTCCTCCTTCAATGATGCAGTCATTAGACTTTGTTACCCTCCCTTACAACTAAAGATTCTTAGAACCTTAGAGATAACTTGGAACTTGTATCCCTTGTCAATAATGACTCAGGAAGCCATTTTCTTTGATTCACGGGAACCCACTAAATACTTTAGAAAGCTCTCTAAAAGGAAAGCAATTTCTTTAAATTATATAATGCCTTCTCTTTATAATATTACCTTCTCTAGGACCAGGACCTTTCCCAGGGATCATTGACATCTTTGGTGTTGGAGGAGCCCTGTTGGAATATCGGGCCAGCCTTCTGGCTGGCCATGGCTTTGCCACATTGGCTCTAGCTTATTGTGACTTTGAAGATCTTCCCAAGAAATTCGACACCATACACCTGGACTACTTTGAAGAAGCCCTGTGCTACATGCTTCAACACACCCAGGTTCTCCTAATGTCCTTTATCATTCTCTCTAGAGCTACCTCCAGAGGGGGTTGTCACTTTGCACTCACCTGTGCCAGGTGCATTGATGCTGCTCTATTCTTCTTTCACAGAGATTTCTTCTACTCCACTTTCTCTGTCAGATGGATTAATATTGCAGAATTCACTGTAAAATTCATGTGATATTTTATTTTAGGGAATTATGTAGTAATATTAAAATTTCTTTTGCAAGTGGAGTTTCTAAATTTTTAGCTTTGCATGCTTTTTAATCTTTATTTTTCTGATAGCAGAGTATGTTCTCAGATTTTGATCAAAACTTGTCCACCCATTTCATAAGCTTAGAACCACTCAGTTGGACTCTGAAGTTTTACTTTGTTTCTATAAAGTTAATCATTTGTCAATATATGTTTAGATGGGGTCTGATGAAAGATTCACTTCTTGGAACAGAATTTAGTTCCACACAGATGCCCAGGAACATTGATGCTTTAATTCAACCTGAATGAAGCTCTGAAATTGACAGGCTCCAATGACTCAGCATTCTCTAGTGGATGACTCTCTGGAAGTTTGCAACCAATTCCCAAATTTGCCAGTGAGTTTAAGATTTGTTTGCCGTATGTCCAGCAAGATAGTCTCTACATGGGAAGAAACTCTGTCAGCTGAGGTTGAGTCTCTTGTGGCCAATTCACAAATTAAAGCTAGCAGCATCTCTAGTTGCATTTAGAAAAACATTCTTCTGTTGGGTAGGTTCTTGACTTTTGTCTCTTGCCCCTTCTTTTCTTACAGGTAAAGGGCCCTGGCATTGGACTTCTGGGCATTTCTTTAGGGGCTGATATTTGTCTCTCCATGGCCTCATTTTTGAAGAACATCTCAGCTACAGTTTCCATCAATGGATCTGGCTTCAATGGAAACAAAGCCATATACTACAAGGAGAATAGCATTCCACCACTGGGCCATGACCTAAGGAGAATGAAGGTAGCTTTTTCAGGCCTCCTGGACATTGTGGATATAAGGAATGACATTGTAGGGGGATGTGAGAACCCCTGCATGATTCCAATAGAGAAGGCCCAGGGGCCCATCCTCTTCATTGTTGGTCAGGATGACCATAACTGGAGGAGTGAGTTATACGCCCAGATAGCCTCTGAACGGTTACAGGCCCATGGAAAGGAAAAACCCCAGATCGTCTCTTACCCTGGGACTGGGCATTACATTGAGCCTCCTTACTTTCCCATGTGCCCAGCTTCGCTACACAAATTACTGGACAAACCTGTGATCTGGGGTGGAGAGCCCAGGGCTCATTCTAAGGCCCAGGTAGATGCTTGGAAGCAAATTCTAACCTTCTTCACCAAACACCTTGGAGCTTGCCCCAAATTGAAATGCCCTAAATTATAATTGATCTGTTATTGACAGGAGAGATTCAAGGTCAGATTTTAGTGTTTAATAATCTTATGTGAATCACTTGTCCCCTGGATAACATTAAATGCATGTCATTGGTATTAATGCTATATTTTAGGTTACTTTTTTGAGATTAATTTTGTCATTAATTTTTCTAATGTAACACAGCCTACTGTACAAGATTGAATTAGAAGTGTACAATACTAAATAGTAAAAAGTATCAACGCTATTAAAATTTGTGTTCTCATCTAGATTTTTTTACTTAACACTTTGAGGCACAGATGGAAATTAAAGCTGAACAAATACTGGGCTACTTTTTCCATCACTGGGAGAGAATATGGCCATTCAGTGTTTGCTACTGGTTCAACTACTGGTAGCAGAGTAGAATTTTTATTGGCTAAAATATACAGAGAGGTGTTGATAGAAGGAAAGCCAGACTGACCTTTTTCTCATGGAGATTAGAGAAGAATCCTCTGAGAGGAGTTACGGTAAGAAGGGGAGCATCTGGCTCTGGACGGCTAAGTCAAAAACTCTGTCCCAAAGGTGATTGACTATGAGCTATTTTCCTTTTTGCTTCCTGGCTCTAAGAACAGACTTTGGAAAATCATACTGTGACATTCTTAGAGGCATCACCATCACCTTCTCTGACATCAAGGCTACAAAGTATTGTGTAAGTATATTTGAAGAGATAATGGCTGAGAATTTTCTAAAGCTGACAAAGACATCAGCCACATATTCCAACAGCACTATGTCTTAGTCAGCTCAGGCTTCTATAACAAAATACCACAGATGGGGTGGCTTAAACAACAGACATTTATTTCTCACAGTTCTGGAGGCTGGGAAGTTCAAGATCAACGTTCTGGCAGATTCAGTTCCTGGTGGCACCTCTTCCTGGCTTACAGATGGCTGCCTTCTTCCTGTGTCCTTACCTGGCAGGGAGAGAGAGGGAGCTCCAGTTTCTCTTCCTCATTTCGTAAGGACACTAATCCCATCATGGGGGCTTCACTCTCATGACCTCATTTAAACCTAACAACCTCCCAAAGGTTCTACCTTCAAATACCATCACATTGGGGTTTCGGATTTCAACATATGAGTTTTGAGGGGACACATTCAGTTCATAACCACCATAAACCTCAAGCAAGTTAACCATATTAACACATCACAGAAAAACTGTTTGTGGCAGTTTTATAACATAGAATTTATAACATAAATTCTTTGACGTTTCTGCCACCAAGAGGTAGGAGATCTATGTCCCCTCCCCTCAAATCTGGATGGCTTTCTGACTGTCTCAGTAGAGTACAGCAGAATTGATGCTTTATGATTTCAGAAGGTAGGTCATAAAGGCCATGAAGGTGATCCCACCTTGTTTGCTGGGAACACCTGCTCTTGGAGCCCTGAGCCACCCTAAGAAGTTTTACAACTTTGAGGCTGTGATGCTGTGAGGAAGCCCCAAATACACGGAGAGCTGTAAGCTCTTCCTGTAATAGTCCCAAATGAGCTCAACCTTTGAGTCATCTCAGCCCAAGTACCGGGATGTGACTGAAAAAACCTCAAGATGATTCTAGCCCCCAGCCACTTGAATCTTCCCAGTGAAGGCTTTAGATATCCTGAAGCAGAGAAGAGTTGTCCCAGTCAAGCACTGTCCAAATTGTGGATCCGTGAACAAAATATTGTTTTATGTGACTGTGTTTTGGGGGCATTTCAGTTATCTATTCAGCTATCTATTGTAACAAACCACCCCAAAACACAGTGGCTTAAAACATTAACCATTCTCGGGCTTCCCTGGGGGCACAGTGGTTAAGAATCCGCCTGCCAATGCAGGCGACACGGGTTCAAGCCCTGGTCTGGGA